CCAGCTAGTAGATGAGAGGATAAGAAACCTCAGAGTATTATAGTCAGCAAAATAAACATTAATTATAGTGAGCTTTTGTGTGTTAGCAGTATTTGAAGGTACCAGGTGAGATCTTTACTATTGATAAGTGCAAATGGTAATTGGATACACTACAGCAACATGCCAACAGTGACAACAAAAAAAGATAATGGGGGAGTATTCTCATTTTGCAGGTGGGGCACCAATAAGCTAAATTCCCTGCTGGGTGGGATTTGCCTTACCAGCTCTTGAGACAAATAATGCTGAACTAATGTGGAAGTGCAGGAGTGAGTCCCTAATTTGGGCTCTAAGGAATACTATATCAGCTATCCAGTGGTAATGGTAGGTTGTGGAGGCAACAGAGGTACACATCCTGACAGAGCAACTACAAATTCCTGCTACTGAGTCATGTTTGATGGCATAACTCAGGTAAGTATCTGTCTTATTTTGCAATGACAGCACAGAGAGTGTGTGGTTTTCCCCAGCTGGTCAGACAGGCAAAAGACAGCAGCGTTATATCTCTTAAAACAATCCAAGCTCAGAAAAGCAAAGGACAGAAGGCAGATGACCTCTGGATGCACTAGACAGTGATTCTCACATGAAAGCACAGCTAAATTGGGAAAATGGCATTCCTAGGAGAGGAGTGTGCTACTTCGCTCTTTTTCACAAACCAAGTTTCCTGCTGATCTGACAACGTGCAAATATCTTGGGCAAGGGGTTGGCAAGTCATCGGCACCTGGCTTCTTATCATCTGCACCACAAACAAAGTGAGGCTACTGGCCATTGCTTTTGTAATCTCGGAATGACAGGATGCCAAGAACAGAGTTCACCTCAAGTCCTTTTGCCCCTTAACGGTTAATATTCGGGCTCTGGGTGAAGAACAGTCCACAGATCCCTGGCTCAAACACTGAATATGAGAAGACAGATGCAGACCACAGCAATGTTTTCCAAAGCTCTTTGGAGACTTGGGTTAACCTTTGAAAATTTGTACCCCCAGCCACATGAAATTCTCAGAGGACAAGCATACAGGCCCTTGTAAAGTAAACAGAGATGTTGCATGTCAGCTGTTGCTTAACTTGAACAGCCCCTCATTAGCTTGGTGCATGTGTAATGCACGCTGGGTGAAGCTCTAGGCGTACACGCAAGGCTGTTGAAGAAACAGTACCCTTGAAACTACAGCACAGGACCTTTCCTGCTACCGTGGGGTATCTGTCCTAACAAAACACTAAAGGATGATGAGGTTGTTACCAATGAACTTCACACCAGTCCTGCTAGGCAAGGCAAAGACAGGATTACACCTAAGCACCCCACTAGGAAGAAGCTGGTGGCCTAATTCCATTTGCACTACGTTTATAAGCTCTGCTTTCTCTTGGATCCTTACACATACTGCTTTTCCACAACAGTTTTGCAGTTCTGTTTTCAGCTTATTTATCCTTAACAACAGATATACAGTAGGGAGCTATTCCTATCTTTGTTCTGCAGAGGAACAAAGGAAGTGAGAGATTCAGTAATGTACAGAAGGTCAAGGAGAAAGCGTGAGACAGAGCGAGGAACTGAGTTTGCCTTTCTAAGTCCAGGATAAGGTTTCTCACCATTCATTTCACTAGGTGGGACTGAAGCCAGCACCAAGCGCTCCGGAAATCCCATCGTGACTGCTTCCTTCATTTGAATATTTTAATAGTGTTTACATCTCCAATGAAGACGTACACACTACAGCAAAAAATAAACCAAAAACAAGACAACCCACCAGCGCCCTTTGAAGCATTTTAATGAAATGCTTCATTAATTCAAAAATTGTTGAGATTGCAAATTGGGAACAGAACATACAGGTCTAGAGGCATGATCACTAATAATTCATGAGCAAAATGTTATGTTTATGCAACATTAAGGATGAGATTTTAATTGCTTATTACTGTAATTGATTTCATTCAGTTGTTATGGCAACTTTCTTCCTTTAGTACATGCACTACACCAGATTGCTAAAGGCATAAGCCATAAAATGAGGCTATGTGACACAACACAGCTGCAATGTGTACTGTAAGACAAACACTGATTATTTACTCATATGATACAGAGTAGATGAAGAATGTAGCTAAGACTGTCTAGCAACTTCTATTCTAATATTATCATCACACACTGATAAATCCATCAGCATTCCATCCATCAGTCCCAGCCAGCATCTTATGTTCTGACCTGCAGCACTAACTATTCTTAGTTTTCACTACTTGGTGTTCTACTTGAGCAATAACAATTCTGCCATTTTATTAAGCTAGTTAGTAACAGCAGCTTTGTCAGTACACGTTAGGCATGTAGTTGTATTTTGATGCTTATCCAGAATAGCTTTTATAAATCAGGAGTTCAGAGCAAAAGCTGGAAACTCGACAGTTGAGACTAAAAGTCAAATCATGCCTTTTGCCATCTAGGAGAAAGCATTAAGTGCAGTTGAACAACACCAACTGGCACAGGCTTTGCTCAGCTCCCGCTGTCACCCAGCGATGGTGAAATTGCTAAACATGCCCCTACTCTCATGCATTGCAAAACAGAGCTTGCTCTGTGGGCCACAAATTGCTGGCTCCTGCAGTACTGGAAGTTAAAATCCTTTCAGTATCTTAAACTCTTCAAATCTTTGCGACTTGTCAGTCTCAGGCACGTCAAACTTCAGGGGAACTGAATACAGCAAGTCAGCTGCAAGTCAGACATTGCTTGAAAATGGAAACAGAAATGTTTTCTTTCTTGAAGGCCCTGTGTAATGTGCACTGAATGGAGAACTGCAGAGGCTGGCTTCTGCTCTTGCCCCTAGCATATTTCACATTTCATCGAACTTCAAAGGCTAACATGTGTCACAGAAATCTAACAGCCATTCATCTAACAGTCCTGCCCCTGTTCAGGACCTGAACATACTGATTGATGCTGCAAATTTTTACTCTTCCAGGTAGCTTGCTGTTCAATTGTGTGGTAAAGAATTTGAGTTTCCTGTTCAAAAGCCCATTATTAATTATTGTGTGACAATTCACTAGAATAGAAGCCGTTCCGCTGCTAATTCCTTGTAGCCCACTTAAAGCCACAGGAGAGCAGGTTTGAAAGGTGAGCGGTGTAATACCATGAGATCCCATCACAAACCAGGGCTGGTCCACAATGATGAGAACTGCCAGCTCTACACTTGATGTAGGTTAGGCAGTAACTATTTCACAAAGGCTCAAAGCTTTGTGAACAGAGGAATGTCCTGGAGCTCATACAGAAACTGCACAGCCAGAAGCAGTCCCATAGCAATGCTTTTCACACAAATATTTCCCTTCAGCCTTCTGCTCACACCCAGACCTGCCCCAGTGATAATGCAGTTAGGAAAACGAGACTGCATTTAAGCCCTTGAGATGGCAAGCGCTCAAAGCTTCACCTAATGCAAGAAAGCCTAAAACAGCATTTGAAAAGTATACATGGCTCTGCTGTTAAAAATAGAGCAACCACCCATTCTTTGAACAAAGCCAGGCAAGCCTCCTTTGAGGGATACACCTCTATCTGACCCAGCAAAATCAAAGCGATGCCCAAATTATCAAGCCACAGAAGTAAGCCTAGCAACATTCTCAAGCAAATCTCTTCTCATGCTGGGGACCAATTCAAAAGCAGTTGTACGGCACACCCCAAGCTGTATTGAACAAACCAATCTCATTAGCTGTTGTTAACCCAAGGCCTGTGGCCTCCCACACTCACAACAGTTCACCTACATGCTGTGTGAATAATCTGCCAGCGCCCAAGCAAGGCGCTTGCTGTACTGAAGCAACCTGAGTGGGATCTCTGAAGTAGGAGCTGAAAATCTTGGCTGCAGCAGCTTTCATGTTCAAAGTTGTCACAGCTGACAGCAAGGAAGCTTCAAGTGATAGAATGAACATTGCCAAGATCCATTACGTAATTGGCTTTTAGTCATACATGTGAGCTAAAGAACATAGAAGGAAATTTCAAAGAGCTCTTTCAGACATCAGGTGTCCATTCCTCTTCTAGCATATGTGGGAAGTGAGAAGCCTCAGTGTGCTCCTATATTTTAAGTAACTATGAAGGCCATGAAGAACCTGAGAACTGCCATTGCTGCTCTCAGTGGATTATGTTAACAATAGCACAAGCCCCGTGCTTCCCACACACATTGCCAATAAGCATCCTATTCTCCTCCAGACCCAACCCCAGAATCCGAAAACTGAACACTCCAGGGTCCTGTGTCTCCCCCCACAAATTTAGAGCTGGAAAACAAGCTGCCCCAGCTCAAGGAACACCTTTGCACAAGAAAGAAAAGGACAAAGAAAAGGGAAGATCTGGATCAAGCTCCAAGGCACACCCTACGGTGATGTTTTGAGAAATCTCAGCCATCTAGATCTTGGGTCACCCGTTCAGTTCTTCCAGCAAGAGCCACTTAGGGCCTCTTATCCATTATTTTGCAGAGGACACCAGAACTACTTACTAAGACAGGCAGAATGAGAGCAAAATTGTTTCAGCTGTTTTTTTTTTTTTTCCTCTCTCTCTCTCTCTCTCTTCCTCCTCTCCAAGTGAAAGACAAGTACTTTTAACTGTAGAAATGCAGACATCAAGACACCAAGCTTCATCCAGAAGACTGGAATAGCTGCAAGCATAAATCCAGCAAAACCCAGAACGCTCATCCTGTAATGAGCCCTAACTCCACCTCTAATGGGAGATCCCCTTTGCCAGGTGCAGAAGTGGACCATTTGCAGAACTTATCCCAGCACCACAGCAGAGCTGAGTGGATAAGCAGAGACACCTCACAGCGGCCTTCAAAACAGACAGCAGCAAAGCTGAGAAAAGGTTCACATCCAGTAGGGAGCTGCACACAAAAGACTCCTTTTTCTTTGCAAAGAACTTATCAAAACTTTTGGAGGATCCAAAAGTTCTGGAGCAGCTTGGATGCCACATAAGTTAAACAGCAAAGAAGAAAGGAAGCAAAATATACTACCAGTACAATCAACTGTAAGTCATGGCACTTAACAAATACAACAATTTATTTTTGTTCTGAAGTGAAACAAGACCCAGTAGGTTTATCACACACAGTCAAGGTACTCTATTTCAGAACGGAGCTCCCAGGTGCAGAAGTAAGAAGTTTGAGTGAACAGTATTTGTATCATACAGAGTACACAATAAATTAATATCTACATGCAACATACCTACAAAAAGTTACATACAAGGTAAAAAAATACAGTATTTTCTGCTCATTTTTTGTTTTAAATTTTTTTTTCCTGTACATTTTTTAAATTTACATTTTTATTTACATTTTTTTTGTAAACTTTTTGTATTTTTATAAAACTGAAATCATGTAACAGTTACAGACTTACGGCACCGCTCATACCCTAAAACAATTCTTACATCTACAAAACAGCCTTTAGATTGCTCCTTCATTTCTACTTTGGCACCACCACACTTCACACCATTATTCTGAGTTAACTCATCCGCTTACTACCTAGCCATATTCTCAGTACAGAGAAATGCAATCACACTTCAGTTTGTGTGCTTCCATAAGTTCAAAAAAGCCCATTACATTAACTACTTCATCAACATCACATTTACTGGATATTACTGCATAATATCAACTTTTCCTGCACTAACTGCTTCACGTAAGCATGCAAACAAGTCTGATTATGACTCAATCAATAACATGAATATACTGAAATAAACTACAAGGGTTAAATATTAAAAGGAACGTAGACATATCAAGAGTAACCGTGTCAATAAATCTAAGCTGATAGTATGGGCTGACTTTTTAACACTAAATACAAACACACGGTGGGTTTCAGCATAAGCTAATTTGTATTAAAGAAAATATGAAAAGCCCTGTCACATACTACCATTTTCAGTAAAAGTTTGTATTGACTAGAATCCTCCACTCCTACCACGCACACTCAGTTCAAAACAGGGATTCCTAAAGTTTATGAAAAACTAAGCCTTAAATAAGAAACATTTGAAGTACACAAGAACCTGCTGAAAAGGAGCACAGCACATGAAGTGTTAAAGCAGTTTCAGTATTCAAAAAGCCCATTTCACTGTGAATCAGCACTTCAGCATGGTACTGTATATGCAATAATTCCACTCAGCCAATGTGATTTAACCACAAAACACTGAAGAGTGGAGGGACCCTCACAGGAGGGCTCTGCACTAATCTCCTGCCCACAGGAGCACCAATACCGATTTTTGATCTTGCCGCTCAAGGTTTTGTCACATCAGACCCTGAAAACCTCCCAAGACAAAGACTACACAGCTCTTCTTAGTCCATCCCATGCTTGACTGCATCTCAATCAAAAATTGCAATGATCTTCTCAGCAACCCTCTCTTACATAGTAGAAGACTGCTGCTCAATCCTACCCACACACCCTCTTGGCCGAGCTGCATGAAGCCCACACTTCCCTCAACTTCTCCTCACAGATCCTGTGCCCCAAATTCCTTGTGCATCCTGGCAGCTCCATGGCAAATGGAAACAGGTGACCAATATCTTGGACTAAAAACTGGACAGGGAAGAAAAAGCCCTACTTCCCTCAATCTTGATCACCTGTTTAAGCAGCCATCAGCTTCCACTGCTGCCATGACACTCTGCTGCTTATGTTAGCTGCTATGCATCAAGGAACATAAGGTACAGGACTGCATTTATCCTCAAAGACAACAAAACTAGACATCAACTTTCTTTTTTTTGCTGAAATGAGACCTGAATTAGAACATAAACCACAAGGCAGGCATTCAAAGCATTGCAGTATCACAGCAACTCTTGCCTTAATACAGTTTACAGAATACCACAACCCCATTTATTATTGCCAAAAGATTAGGGTGCATTAAAAATCTTAACCCACTACAATCAAGACTTAATGCAAAGACTGAGAATTAAGAGTTTGCCACTTTGTTTTAGGCTTGAGTTCAAAGAAGAAGGTGCCTTCCAGATCACTAGGAGGAGAACTGCTAAGGCTTTCTTCTCCACTGCTCATATCTTCACAGGAGTCTTCACTAAAAGAAATAGTAGGAAAGATTAGCATTTCCAGATAATGGGAACACCCCACAATTTAAAAGCCTGGAAAGTACAACCAACCTTTCGCTTTCATTGAAACAGCCACCCTCTGGTATTGTTGGCAACTCAGGAACACTGTAGTAACTGTTCTGTAGATTCTGGGCTGTGCGCCTTGAAACAATCCAAACTAGCTTTTTATGATCAGGCTTGCAACATTCAGGAGAAGAATAGTCTGCCAGGCATTTTGAGACCAGTTCCCTCCAGTAAAGCAGGTCACAATCACTTATCTGAAAAGTGAAGAAACAACCTATTTATATCAAAATACAGCCACTCCACCTTAAGGAAATGATTTCACGAAAGAGATACCCAAATTTCAAAGCTTTGCTGCTTTTAAAGGTGAACTCCTATACACCTCCTAGGAACGCCTCTGAATTAACAGTTGGGCTGTCAGTGGTTGTCAACATTTAAATCATCCCCAAATGAAACATAACTGCTGTTTAACGGAGACCAAAAACATTTTGAGACATCATACAGCAAAACTAACAGAAGACCATGTAAGAGGGTCCTACCTAGAGATGTTTTACTGCCATGTAATAATGTCATCTTTATAAAACACTTTAAGGAACTACTATCCCCCAAGGCACTGGGTTAGTTCAATTTGATTACAACTGTTTTAGACTACGGCCGGTTACAACATGCAGCTAGAAGCATCAAATTCTGTTATTGGGGCAAAAAGAACCAGCCCAGCAGACATTCTGGTCATACAAATGGAATGGAAGCCTCTCTAGAACATGTTAAATCAGCTGCCTGTTAGAACATGTGTAAAACGAGAAGAATTGCTAATCTAATACATTTAACCTAGTTTTCAAACTGTAATCCTTTTACATGTCAGGTAGTTGCCAATGACTACTTGACCTCATTCACTATGAAGCAGCAGTTACTTGTATTTGGCATTCTACCAATGAAACAGTATTAGAAGAGTTTCAGACTTGCTCAGAAGCCTGTTTCATTGCTTGCTTTAGCTGATGCCAAACACTACCTGTTGAAGGCTGCACACTGACAGAGGTGCCTTAAATTTAACACCAAATATTAGCCATACCAGTCCCAACAACTGCAAAATTAACCTCAAAACGTTTACCTTTGAGTGCTTTTGAACACGCAGAAGTATCTCAAACAGCTCAACAGATTTCAAAGATTGAACTTCAAGAGTGAGAAGGCACAAGGCCAAGACAGAAGGCTATAACAACAAAAAAAATGCTGCTCAGCATGCTTTAATTGAAGCCTAAATGGAAGCCAAAGAAAAGCTACTTCTACTTACTTTTGCTTTAGAAAAGACAAGACGACAGTTGCAAGCTTTTAGCTGTGCTTCCAATTTGTCAAGATTCAATACTTCTTTCCTATAAAACACACAAGAGAAGGAGCATTCATATCAACAAGCATTAACATGACAGGAAGTCACAGACAAGGAGCAGCCTCCTCTTCAGTCAACATCATTTTAAGACACAGCTGAAGAGGAAAAAGGCCTTTGCAAACTGAACATCAACATGCAATTCAACTCACCTTTCTGAGGTATGACAGAGTACAATAGTATGGTACAAGTGCAAGAAGGTTAAGGCAGTAGTAGCTTTAAATTCAAAGTGCAACTTTTCTGAAATTATCTTTTCCATCCGTTTCAGGTCGGACACAGTGCATTTACATTGGCTGATTCGGATAATCTCATGAGCAGATGGAATATTGCATTCTTCTTCAACCACTCGGGCAGCCAGTTGAAAACAACAAACTCCAATGCAAGATAAATGCTTTGGTTTCACCTAAAAATAAGAGGAAACACTGAGTACCTCCCACCTACTGTGCTATGCTTATCAAACAGGGAAATAAACAGCTCACCCAGCCTAGGTGAGCAATTTTGAAATATTTGCATTTCAACAGAGATTTAGTTCCTCATCTACACTTGATGGGGTGTTTGAGTCAACTGCGGTCATTACAAGTGTTTCACCACTTCAGTTTCAACAAAACACAGCTGGCACAGCCAATAAAGCAGTATCAATCTGTTACAGGAGAACTGAAGGTAGGTACAACAGCCAAGCACCCTTACCGAAGTTGTTCTTCCTCATTACACTACAAAGAAACTACAGTGAGAACTGTAGTACCTCACTTCTCCAACCGGCAGTGCTCACCTACCTTCTGCTAAAGCCTACACAAATCCGGTCTGAGCTTGTTCTAGGCAGTCCTAGCCCCCTGCAGCTCACTCCTACCCCTGCTATTCTCTGCCGTATAAGAGGATAATGTTTCACACAACCCGGAAGATTGTCAGACCAGAGAACTCCAGGCATTAATTTCACCAGCTTGGTAATTGGCAACTGATTTCTGTTGGAACTGTCTGCCACAAAGCAGCACAAACAAAAAGAACAACCAGAATATGATCTTTTGGCATTAGATCCAGCTCTAAGCTTAAGCTTTGGCACAGTACCTACAAGATTTTAAACCCAAATTGCTTATTTTGTTCTTCATTATCTCCTATTCTCTAGGTCTTCTACATCTACTTATCTTTAAAGATGAGGTGAAGCCACAACAAAGAAATTAATATATCACCACATTTCATGCAACAACTACTGACTTCAAACCTTACACAGAAGCATTTGGTATAACACAATTAAACAAGCACAGTTCTCTCCTAACTCACAACTTTCCCCCCTTTGGCTAATAAGGGAAGTTCAGACAGAACCTCTGTGTTTCCACAAACACTGCAGCAGGTCCTCTAACCCCCAAAATACCTTCATAAGAGCCAGGAATCTGTCCAGGATGTTAACAGCCAAAACAAACGTTTCAGTTGCAAAACCGAAGAAGTTGGTCAGACTCCAGAGATCTTCCACCTTAGCATTCCTTTGTCTCGGGCACAGAGTGTTTTCATTCTACAGCAAGAAAAGTCAAAACGTAATAGCAGTGACAGCGAGGACTACCAAGCCTCCCAGTTAGGTCAAAGGTAAGTTTCTCTTAAAGCCTGCCTGGAAATGCTTCCTATTACTTTCTGTTTTCTTTATTCTGTTAGCAATAAAACCCCACTTAACGCACCCGAGGCTCGGAACAGCCCCGAGGCGCGCGGACACTGCCATGCCCATGGGCACCGATGCAACACGCAGCACACCCACACTGCTGGGCACACACTCCTTCCCAGATGACAGTTCTCACGGCCGTGCCCACACCGACTTAGGAAAGATGCGACCAAACCCAGCTCATACTCCCTCCCCGCCAGTCGAGGAGCGAGATGCTCTGCCTCCAAACCCAGCCCGCGGGCCCGGCACACCGCCGCCCCCCGGCCCCTCACCTCGGCCGCGCACTCGATGAGGCTGAGCCCCCTCTCGCGGGGCTGGAAGCGGTCCTCCAGCTCCAGGTGGAGGTTCAGCTGCCGGAACAGCCGCAGCGCCTCGCTGCCCATCTCCGAGCCGGCCGGGCTGCGAGGGCCTCGGGAGACGCGGACAAAGGGAACCGGGCGCCCGCCCCTCGCCGAGGCGCGATCCCACAGCGCCGGGAAGGCGAACCGCGGGCCCCGGGGGCTCCTCGGCGGCAGGGAGAGGGAGCCCGGTTCCCGTCACCGCACGGACGCGGGTGGGCTCCGCCGCGGGCACCGCATCCAGGCAGGGCGGCCCGCGCCTCCGCCGGCGGCCGGCCCCGCTCGCCGCCCCGCAGCGAGTCACGGCACTGCCCGCGGCACCGACACCATCCCCGGCCCCGCGGAGCTGCCGCCGCCGCCGCCCCGGCCCCGCATCAAAATGGAGGCGGCGCGGCCCCGCCCCCGTGTTTTGTTCTGCCGGCCCGCAGATGGCTACGCGCGGAGCGCTCCCGGCGAGGCCCGGTCGGCGAAGCGCCGCGCGGAGGTAAAATAGTCCTCGCGCGCAGCCGCGCGCCCTAGCGGAACCCCGAAAGGCTTCGGAGACCAGAATCTGCCGTGATCACCCAGCGGCTCGTTCTGTCACCGGAGCCCGGACAGAACAGAGCTCCTTCGGAAAGAGCGCCAGGTCCTAGCGGAGGGATACACCGCAGGGTCGCACCACTCCTTTAAAGGGCCCCGGGACCTCTTGCAGTCTTCTCCGGTTTTAAAAAGTCCGCCCAAACGTTTCCCCATCCTGATTGGCCCGCGCTCCCCGGCAGCTGATTGGCTGGCGGCTCTGCTTCCTCCTCCCCTTCCTAATCCATGGCGTTCTGTTGTTTACCGTCGGCGATTGGTCGCCGAGCGAGGGTGGATCTCTTCTGATTGGTCGGCAGAGCGCTACCTCTGCCCCGCCTACAGCTGCCGGCCTTAGCAACCGTCACGGGGCCGGGCGTGTGCTATGGCCAGCGGCCCTGCAGGGCACGGCGGGCGGCTTGTGGTTGGCGGTTGTGCTGGTGCCTGTCTGCCCCTTAGCTGACGGCTGAGTAGCTCCAGTACCAATTTGGCTGTCTACTAAAACACACGGACTTTCGTAATTGGAGGGGGGAGAGGTCATGCAAAAAATAACAAATAATAATAAAACCACCCCGAAGATCCTTAATTGAAACAATGTACTCACCAACATCGTGTTAGGGATGAATCATAGAATCGTAGAATGGCCTGGATTGAAAAGGACCGCAATGATCATCTAGTTCCAACCCCTGCTATGTGCAGGGTCGCCAATCACCAGACCAGGCAGCCCAGAGCCACATCCACCTGGCTTTGAATGCCTCCAGGGAGGGGGCATCCACAACATCCTTGGGCAACCTGTTCAGTGCATCATATGTAGAACATATTTTATTTATTCTCCAGCATGTCGTGCTTTACAGAATAGCAGCTCCTTCCTGACATTGTTGGGAACTTACAAAGCAGTGAATGAAGAATTACGCGTTCCTTAGCTGCAGGTGCGGTGACATTCATCTAGTTAGGAGCAGTAGTGCTGTCCTTTCAGGAGGAATTCTTGGTTTGTGCTGCCCAGGAAGACTGGTGCAACAGCAACAACAACAGCAACAAAAGAATTAAAACTCGAGGGAAAACCATGCAAAATCTTTAGAGTTCCTAATGTAAGCAAAAACTTCTGGCAAAGGTTTAACTTAAAAGCTGGACATTTTGCAAGACAAATTGTAAACTAAAAGAAAGAATTCTTCCTTATTTGTTGTGATGTAAGCCTACTAAATCCATCAAACGGCATTAGTTCTACCTTAAAATGGTAATATTTTACCTAGCTTTGATAAACTATCTCCCAGTCTGACTTGACAAAGCGTGCCCAGCAATTCATCAAGAATAGCTGTGTTTGGACTCACCAGCTGTATCAGAGATGTCATCTGGGCCTCCTGGTATGAAGGTTTTCAAAATGAAATGAGACTACAAGCCTTCGCAATTAAGGGACATGTGGTAACTGGCACTCCAGACAACACATGGAACTTCCTTACTCAGAGCCCAGGTCATCCAGGTAAGAAGAAAGGGGTCATTTGGAACGATGGTTTTGTCTGAACCACTTAAACAAAGAGCAGCTGGTAATTAACCTAAGTGCCCTACTGCAATCCGTTATACTGGTAAGGAGGGCAGTGACACAAGGAAAGCAGCAGAACTGCTAAATCCAGTCTGCAAAAAATGCTGGAGTTGTGACTGTCTCTCTGAGACCAAGCTGCTGCACTAGGATGAATAGGAACTTAGCCTAATTCCAGGGGAAAAACATGTCCAGTTTAGCCAACATGCATTTTTCTGCAATGACGTGGGAGGCAACTGCTCATGCATGACTTAGTATATTCACCAAGCATAATTCAAGCTCATTTGAGAATATGAGTAAGGCATGGAACACCAAGAGAGCCTGTGTCAAATGAAATTAGCCCTAGCATCCTTCCCTGCCTTGAGAACTGCTTGTTCTTTCTTTTTTAGTTCCTTAAGAGGCATCTTAGGGGAAAAAAAACAAAACAAAACAAAACAAAACAAAAAACCCCTCTGTTTTAATTACATGGAAATATTTGACAGTTTTGTGGTTGCTTTTTTAGCAAAGTGGAGAGAAGTAGGTCCTGTAAGGAAATAAAACACCCTTTAACGAAATAAAATACCCTCAGTGTGTACTTTCTTATACATATATTAGAAAATGTACCTAAAGGCTTTGTCTATGTGTCTCAGAAATATTTTGCAGATTCTGTTGCTTTGAGAAGCAGTGAAATCAGATCCTGGTGATAAAAGCTTTCAAACCTGAAGCCTTTGTATGGGTTCCACTCACCAGGCCCTTTAAAAAGGAACTGCTCCAGAGATAAAATGTCTCACAAGTCTTCTAGAATTTAAAATTTCTTCATCTGACAGCCCCTACAGGACAATGACACTTGATTCTCTAGTAGGAGTAAATGTCCCCATGGTACAGCTCCTGCCCTCAGTACAGAAGGATGCAATTTCACTTTTCACCTTGTGCTAATGGCAGTTGGTCAAGCTCAGAATTCACAAATAAATGAATTTATTCAAATTTATTACATGCTTTCTCAATTAAAGAGTGCAAGCTTGCCAATCAAGACAATATGATGCTGGTGCTAAGGAAAAAAATTGTCTGGCAATATGAGCACATACAGAGACAAGTAAAGACAGTGCATAGATGTCTCAGTGACCCTATTCCAAGTTCAAAACAGCTGTTGAAAGTAGGAAGGGAGGGTGCAGAAAAAAAGAGACCCAACTTATTTGCTCAGGAGAAGGGAGCTATACTTAGCAGAAAATATTTTGAGCAGACAAGATTCAAATACAAACCAATGGAGACAGGATAAATTTAGAACAGACTAAATGCTTTTAGCGATGGTGATTTTGTTTTGCTGCAGCGACATGTGGCAGAACATCTGACAATGCTAATGGCTGGATGAGAGGAACTTTCATAACAAAAGGAAGCTTACCAGAAAGGGAAATGCAAGTTGGTCTACCAAAGAGCACTTATAACAGCATAGCTCTGTTGTTTAGGTGCAATTGCTTTGTTTAACAAAGACAAAGCTCGCATGTTTTTGGATGGGCAGCCTGACACGCTTTTCAGACCCATCCCCACAGTGATCCTGGAATCCTGGAAGCTCGGTTTCTTTATGTGGACGTTTATCTAAACTGCAAGGCCTGGCACACGCAGCTGACTGCAGGGCACCCTCAGCAAATGAGCTTGCATTTATGGGACAGGACAAACGCAAAGAACCCTGTCTGTATCCAGAGCTGGTCATATACAGAACTGCAGTATGTATGTAAAGAAAGCCTTTATCATTTGTGTATATTTTAGGCAGTCCTCTGCACTTAACATTATGAATGCATTCAAGGTATAAAGTTACTATGTATTGATACCACATACTTTGTTTCCTGAAAAAGGGCAACTAACACAATGTACAAGTGCTCCTCTACCAGCACAGCTGTGTTGAAATTCTAGGACAAGAAGAGGGGAATCGGCATACCTTAAATCACAAATCTTCCTAGTATAAACTAGGCCTAAATAATACATAGTACTACAGCTCACAATCAAGGGAAGTGCCTCAGACCTTTGGAGATGGTGAAATGATGACTTGCAGTGCTGAAGACGACTACTTTGCACCCGTTTTCACTGCCTTCATTAACATTTGGCTTCAGAGTAGCTCTGTTTTCGACCTACTAATGCTGCTTTAAGGTTCTCTTCCTTGCCTATATGATCTGCTTTCATTGAAGATAAACTGTCTCGAGAGGGTTTTGTGAGTCCCCTCTGACAACAGAAACTTCAATTCTGACTTCCAAGAGGTTACTAGAAGAGAGGCATCAAAAAGTCTGCGAGGAAAGACATCAATTTTAGAAAAAGTTTGTGTTCCCTCTACAATGGCTGGTATAACTCTTGCAAGACACAAGTGAAAATTGAATTGCTTGTAGCAAGTGCCTAGTGCTAAAATCTTGTTTCAGGAAGAAAATTCAAGTCTTCGGTTGATAATTTGCACTGATAGGAAAGGATTTTGTTCCAGGAATAACTCAGCAGAAAGGCCCATATCAGTTATCTCATGGCTCTGAGCACAGCAGTATATGTTATGCTGGTATGGTATGACAGAAATCGGTCATCCTTCATACTGCAGCACTAGAAAATGGCCAAACAAGGGGAAAGCGACTCAGTGAACCTAATTCTTTCCTATGTTTTTATGAAGATACCTCTATGTGGAGTTGTAAATTTTATGCTGGTATTAAGGGGACAACTGCCAACCTTACAAGCACAGCTGCCAGTGCAACTTACTTCTGTAGTGTTATCTAAACTCATTTCCAGGGCATTGAAAACGGCTCTGGCAAAGAAGAGGAAGGTGGAACCTCAGGCACACATCAGGGCAAACCCTCAGGTAAAGATGAGAAGGGTAAGGCACATGCCAGTGACTTCACCAGTGGCTGCGTAGAGAGTATTTGCAGTTCTGCTGCTCATAGTTGCTCACTGCTGCCCCACCTTGTTCAAATTTCCCTCCTTGTAACAAGGAAAATGGAAGGAACCCAGGAAGACTCCCAGTCTGTGACACATTTGATTGCTTACCCAGTTAGTAAAATTATTATTCATGATCTCTGTGTTGAGTGAGTTTAGGTGCACTTTGTATTAGCCCCACTGCAGCTCCTTTGTGAGCCAGCTCACTCTCACTGATTTCTGTTACAGCTACTGGCAGGAATCTATATTCCATCTGAAAGTCAATTAAAATATTGCTTCCTGTTTTTTTGCTTTTTTTTTTTTTTTTTTTTTTTTTAATAATAATATCAAATGCATACATCAATTTCCTGCAGGCAAACAGCACAGGGAGTATTTGTAACGACAGCTGAAGATGCAGACCTGGTTCTGCTCCTGCTGACATTGCTGTGCAGCAAGGGTAATCTTTTAGGAGCCAATAATTACACCAAATGTCTAAGCAACGTGCTTCAGTGCTTTTATGGCAATAGTTTGCCTTCAGTGCAAGTTAAATTGTCTGAAAGGAAGTATGTTTCAATAACCTTGTGCTTGTCTAAGCATGACCACGTAACTAGCAGTTTGCTTAAAGGTCTCCTAATAACAGTTTGTAACTGGAAGGTGTGTTTTATTCACTATATATCCGTGTCACTTATTTCAAGTGTGTTCTTTTATTTAATTGACAAGATAATTCTAGGCAACGTTGTACTTAAGGCTTCTTAAGGCTTTTAAAAGTGTGGTGTTTTTTTCTTTTTCTTTTTCTTTTTTTTTTTTTTTTAGAAAGGTGGTTGTGTATAATTTCCAAAAGCAGTTTCAAAATCACATGGATTCTGCTTAAATGGAATTTAAATCAGTCATTAAAAGTTAAGCCAAGAAAAAAGAGCAGTCACCTTTCTGACTGCACCACCAGTGAGCTGTTGAATTAAATGACTTTACAGTAGGCACGCTGCTGTAGTCTTTCCAGAGGGTTTCTTAAGCATACCTCCTCATATGCCTTTGGCTAGAATTGAATTGTATGGGACAATGTCTTCTATACTTTGCATAGAGATAGCCATTAGCTGTAAATCACAGAATCGCTGAATGGCCCAAGTTGGAAGGGACCTCAAGAATCATGAATCTCCAATGCCCCTGCCACATGCAGGGCCACCAACCTTCCCATTTAATACCAGAGCAGGCTGCCCAGGGCCCCATCCAAGCTGGCCTTGAACACCTCCAGGGACGGGGCATCCACAACCTGTCTGGGCAGCCTGTTCCAGCACCTCACCACTCTCTCTGTAAAGAATTTCCCCCTGACATCCAACCTAAATCTTCCCTCCTTCAACTTAAAACCATTTCCATTTGTCCTGCTGTTATCTACCGTTTCGAAGAGTTGACTCCCAAATAACAAATCATCTTAATCTGTATTTTTTTCCCTTTATGAGACTACTGCTGCACCTTTATTCACTTCAAGTTCGTTGGTGCATAATATCCTTCTCGTACTTCCCACCAATAATTTGTTTTGAGATTGATTGCTCTGCACTAGCATGAACAGAGATGTACATATTTCCATGCATGGAACCATAAATGTTTTCCAAAACAGCTGCAGGAGCATTTGCAGCATAGCTCTATCCTAAGCTTCTGAATCCAGGCACATTTCACTAACATTCTCTCAATGCTCGCCAGAAGAAGTAATGCAGATGTACAGTCAGTACGTGGCTGTGCTGGACACGTCTAGCTCAAGAGTTCAGTCTGCATGAGCTTGTATTTAGGTTCACGTATCACATGGTTCCATCCAGAGCCTGCTTTGATTGGCATCTGCTCTCCTCCTGCTGTCACTGCAAACCAGAGCAAAGCTCCCATCGCGTTCTGTGTCAGAAAAGTCGGGGTGTAGCAGCCGGGGCTCCAGAGCTGTGACTCTGCAGCCACGTTCATGAGCTCAGTTTAAGAAATCAGAGGCGCGGGAGAAACCAAACGAGGGCCTTTCCCACTCGGCACCCCCGCGGCAGGCGACGGCGGGCAGGGCTACCCGAGCACGGCCAGCTTTCGGTTTCCATTTCCGCAGCGGGGCACGGCCCGCTTTCGGTTTGCGTTTCTCCAGCGTGGCGGGGCGGGACGCAGCGCGGAAGCTGTCTGCAGGGAAGCGAGAGCAGGGCTCCGGCCGATCGGCGTCGCAGGATGCCGGGAGCGCGGCAGCGGCAGCGGCAGGCCAGGCGGCAGCAGAGCGGGCGGCGGAGCGGGGCCCCGCGGAGGCCGCCTGATGCCGGAGATGCGCGGCGGGGTGAGTGAAGGGGCCGGGACGGGGCACGGTGTGCGTGAGGGGTGGTCGCTTTTAGAGCCGGTGGCACGGCAGACAGAGATGGCGAAGTGTCTTCTAGCGGTCGACCGAGGGGTCGGCTGGTGTGCAGCAAAGTGGGATGCTGAAGCCCCAGGGGACGTGAGAAAATACTGCTTAGGAGGGAGCAGAAATGACTAAGGAGCCCCACGATGTGCTCATCTCTGTTTGGTCTGCAGAACCCGAGCAGGTAAAGGGAGAAGAGATGGTGCGGTGTTCAAACTGTGATGAGACGCATGTTCTCATTTACTCCTGTAATGGGAAGCTTAATGAACAGTGGACCACGACTCCAGACAAAACCTCTAAATCAAGGTAAGAAGCTTTCACAGGGCAGTGGTCAGAGAAAACGGCCCACTCTTCCTAAAAGTAATGTTCAAGAAACTTAGGCATAATCCTGATGTAAAGAGGAAACTCTCAGGCTCCTAGAACCCAAAACTTTATATTCATTTTTATTCAGCAAGAATTGCTCTGACTCTGAGATTAATACCAAGATCTGAGCTGACTGAGATGCAGTTGTTACAGGTTCCTCCCAAAACTTAGTAACAATTGGTAGATGTACCAGTCCCACAAATGCCATGCAAATGACACATGGCTTGGGAAAGCGGTGTGTAAAAGACCCAAACCCACCTGAACCTTGCCACTAGTCTATGAGGTTAACCAGCTTGTAAAATTGGCACAGCTGCTGGCTTGTTGGTTGTTCTGCTAACTTGTCCAGGGATAAGCCTGATGCTGTTCAAGCTTCTTCTGGTGCCAACTGTGATCAGATCAGTTTGTGCAGCTGAAGGAGGATGGAGTAGGATGGAGTAGCAGAGTGAATTGACTGAGAGATGACCAATATTTTTCCTACGTAAATACTTCTAAACATGCTAGGACATGGTGAGCAGAATATTTTCTTCTTTTACTTTGTCTGATAGCACAACATCTGTTTTGATTTGGTATGTTTTCCTTATCTTTGTAGGCTGGTGAAAGAACTGGGAAACCACAATATTGTTCAAATAGCCTGTGGAGATCATCATTCCATGGCACTGTCCACAGGTAGCCTCTTTTATGCACTCTTCCTCCAAATGAAAGTTGCATTTGCTTGGCTTGCTCAGAAGGGAATGTTTGAACTACAGCCAGTAGTTAGTGACACCATCCGTGAGCAATTAGCAATAAGCAGGGGACAAATTGTGTTAGCTGTCAGATAGCTTTCCTTCCTAATGCTTAAGGACTTGCAGTTCTCTCTAATTCCTTAGCACTGCCTCTCCTCAAAGGTTTGCTGTGGAGAGGAAATGTGTCCACCTCTCTCTACACTCACCAGATCCGCTCATTTATAAGCCTGAACTCTTCTCTGTTTGGAAACTTATTGAAAGTGTGGGTTCAGAAGTGGTAACAGCCTTTGGTGAATTATACAGGCTGCATGGATCTGTCTTGAATGGTACGGAAGGACACAGAGAGATGTAAATACTGATTGTGGTCTCACCTAGGAGCTAGATCTCTGAAACCAGCACTGATTCTCACTCTCAAAGTACTAAGACTCAAAGAAGGCAATGATATGGTGCTTTTTTTTGTTGTTATTGCATGCATGAAGGAGGTCATCTCTTTACCTGGGGCTTGAATACCCATGGACAGCTTGGAGTGGGGAGCCAAGACCCACTCATCACCAAGCCACAGCTGGTGAAAGGCCTACAGGGCATCCCAATTGCTCAAATTGCTGCTGGAGGAGCTCACAGTGTTATTGTGTCACTCTCTGGAGCTGTGTACTCCTGGGGAAAGAACGATTTTGGACAGCTGGGACTCGGACACACAGAAGGTATGAAGAGAAAGCAGTTTGAGAGCAAAGCAGTGTGAAGATTGATGATTTTTTTCACAGGCACAGAAATGGTTCAGGAATGCTAAGCCTGCTTGGAACAGCAGTGGGCAGCAGAGACTTGGGAAGAAAGTATAGCTGGATAAGTTTTTTCTTTTGAAGCTGCTGCATACAGACCAGGAAATGCATGCAGGGACAAGGCATTTATGCGTTATCTCTGCAGAAAATTTGGCAGCTTCCTGGCAGCACTGATCTCTGCTTTCTGGTGACAGCAACAAGACCCAAGGGAACAGCATGGAGCTGTGTCAGGGAAAGATTAGGTTGGGGATTATGAAAAGGTTCTTCACCAGAGGGTGGTTAGGCTCTGGAACAGACTGCTTGGGGCTGTGGTTGTGTCTCCACGCTGCCAGAGTTCAGGAAGTGATTATGCTTCCAGATATGGGATTTGATTTTTTAGTAGTCCTGCATGGAGCCAGGAGTTGGACACAATGTTCCTTATGGGTCCCTTCCAACTTAGGAGATTCTGTGATTCTATGATCATTTTATATGAACAAGTGAATAGGCTGGGACCATAAAACTATGTGTTTCAGAGATCTCTTTTTAGGCCTATTATATCTCCAGGCAGTCTTGCATGAAAGAAATTTCTATAATTTTCTGTGAATATAAGGTGGGAGAATAATTTGTCTTCAAACATAGAAGGTTACTGCAGAATTGCCTTAGCCAGATAGGACCTGAAATTACTGGAATGTCAGTATGTCCAGCTCCTGGAAAATCAGATATTTTGAAGCCAAGTACCTTTTGATAAACAAATATGAAAGTGCTGCATTTTATTTCAAACTTAGTTAAACTGAATAGAAAAAGTACTATGAACAAGACAGAACATGATGAGAAAGGGTTTGTTGTAGTGTAGGGTAGAAAACAACTCAAAATGAAGTCATAAATACGTGAATTGCTGTAAGATAGCAGTGTAAAATGCTAAAAATGTATTTACTAAATCTTTATTTGTGTGAGACACTTCAGTACACTTTCACTTTAGCTATGCTGTGTTTTCTTTCCAGACAGGGATTGCCCATCATATGTTGAAGCATTAGAGCACTGGAAGGCTGTATTTATCTCATGTGGGGCAGACCACAATGCAGTTCTTTCCAAGGTGAGTCTGAAACTGAAACTCACAGAGAAATTGAAACTCCTGCTTACAGTCAACAAAGTGTGCTAACTATGGTAGTGGGAAAATTGAAAATTGGCCTTTGCTCAGATTCCTGTCACCTGGATGCAAGCTCTCACTGAGATATAATAAATGAGAATCCTGCATTAAAGGGGTACAGTTCAACTCTCTGTACTTTCTGAACATACTTTCTTTTTCCATAACATGCCAGAGACTTAAGAAAATGTGAATAATATCTAATTCGCGAGGGTTTGCTAATAGACGTACGATTCTTAAGCAACAGGGAGTTACTTTGAGGAGTTAAATGTTTTTTTCTTAGAAGTTAAAGGATTTGGACATACATACAATGTAAGATTATGTTTGATGCAAAGTGAACTCCTTTTCTGTTTGAATCATGGATGTTTCTGAGGACAGGCCCGTATAATGTATAATGTATTGCTGGGTCTCACTCTTAATGGTGATCATTTGAATGCCATTAATAATGCAGTTATTTGTTTCTTCACCTACAAGGATGGTTTGGTGTACACCTTTGGAGCAGGAGGGGCTGGCCAGCTGGGTCACAACTCCACCCGGAATGAATTAACACCTCGTGTGGTGGCTGAACTGTGGGGAGCAAGAGTTTCACAGGTTGCCTGTGGAAGGTGGGAAAGTACCTTAATAAAATGCCTTCTAGGTCAGAGCCTCAGATGAGTCATTGAAGAACAGTAGGGAGGGAAATCACCAACATGTTTAAATCCCTGTATTCTAGTAGGTCAGTTCTGTCATTGTCCATTCTTCACTCATGGCCTGCCCTCCTGTCACAACTCAGCCAAAACCAAGAACGGGGAAAAAGTTGGAAAAAAAAACTAGGAGCCCTTGGCTTTTGGTATTTCTAGAAACAAAGGGTGTACTGGTTTCCAAAGGACAGAAGGCTGAGTGAGAAAAGTCACCGTTCACTTCAACAGACATGGGTCCTTAGAAAGAATCAAGGAATAGTGAAAACTATTGTTTCATTCTACCTTTCTGGAACTGAGACATAAAAAGTCTCCAGTTGACTTTCCTGGGTTTTAAGGCTCAGCAACATAGAAGTTTCACTTGGAAAAAAGTGGAAGGAAACTAGCAAGGCCTAGTGGTTTAATTTTGTGTGCAGAGTCAGGGTAAATCACAAACACTAGAGGACAGTATAGGAAATTCGAGTCTGTATTTTTTTACTGCAGAATGTTTATGCAAGGAAGGGTTCTATGACTTCAGTTAAAGAGACTATAGTTGGATGACCCCCCACTTTTAAAGACTAGCTTCAGCTATCCCCTCTGACAATGTGTCTGTAAATTTTATTCTGACTATTTTAGTGATATTAACTTATTGTGACAATATTCTTTTTCTGACCAGGCAGCACACCTTGGTCTACGTCCCATCTTTGGACCAAGTCTATTCGTTTGGTTCTTATCAAGGACAGCTGGAAAGGGAGAGGAAAGCTAATCAGTTGGTACCACTGCCCATCAATTCACCAGAGGATAATGGGAAATTCTGTCAGGGTAATGATGGCTGTAGATGCATATGATCTATATTACTTTCTTCCACATCAGGCAATGGGAAGGTGTTTGCTTTCTTGATTTCTTGTTCACGTTGAAAAACCGATGGCCTCCAGTGGCTTACACTATATCTTATGCTGGCTTAATTGTCCCAGCACAGTCTAGCAGTGTGTAAATTTATTTGCTATTTGATTTATCAGCATGAGTAATGGCCACATAGAATCAATTTTAGACCATCATCTACTGAGTTGTTGTTTTTTTTTTAAATGTGCCACTTCTGTGCACTGACCTCTATGTAGTAATGACTGTCTTCAGATGTTCATATTAAAATTTTTTTACACTTTCACAGAAAACACATCGCAAAACATGACTGAAACTACTACAGAAAGAAAGGAAAATATCATTGATCTTCTCTTTAAGAAAAAGGTATGTGTATATTTGTTTACAGCTTCAGTTTTTGACCACTGTTCACATTCCTGATGGAAGCTTTTGATTTTTCCATACTGCCTTTAGTTCTCCAACTTAAAATATGTCTCTTTGCACTTCTTTGCATGCTTGAGACCAGAAACTGACTTGTATTGCAACTGTAAATTTGTTCAATATTTTTTGCATCTGGATCATGCTGGGTGACCACTAATTTTTTTCATATTTAGGTTGAAATGTTATCATGGTAATTAGCTTTAAAAAAGTTGATCTGCTAGATCTTTAATCTCATTGTATGTTCATGCATTTCATGCAGAATTCCTATCCTTTGAACGGAATTGCCACTCTGAATAGGAAAGAAGTGAATGCATGGATTTCTAATTCCAGTTCACAACATTGGAAGACTATAAAGAAGTAAGTTAGAACCCTTGTGACTTTTTTTTTCCCCAACACATGATTTTTGATAAAAGAAAAAAAATTACTGTTCGTTGAAGACTCCTGGAAACTCATGTTCAATCATTTAGTTGAGACCAGATCTTGTGGCAGAGCGCGTTACTTAGTTTTTGCACTGAGAAAACACATAAGCAACAGCTATTCAACATTTAAAGAATGATTTAAAGAGCATTTAAAAATCTTGACCAGTTCAGGTCTCTCTGTTTCTCTGACCACTTTCAGTATGGTTTGGCCAAGTTGTTCTGCACCGAGAAGAACGAGGGAGACAGAGACTGCTTTCCAGATGTCAACAGCAAGGCCCAACTGCAAATGCTTGATTAAGAAGCTGTTTTAGTCAGATAGAATAGAACTAGGAGTATTGGTAATGAGTAAATGTTACTCCCTACTGAGAATCCAGTTTTCACACAGCAGCTGAATTTCCCATTGGTGCATTGCAGATCCCATCCATGGAGAGATTCCTCCTCTCTTCCACTGCATTGCCTTTCACACTGTGTAACAAATAAAATCATGTCCTCTCCTGACTTGTTTTGATGTTATCACTATCATAACCACCACCTGTGCACAGCATTGGCTGGTACAGAGCACTCAAGGAGGTTCCCTATGACAACTATACATGCTAACATAATAACTGTTCCTGCTTTAAGTATGAAGTCAAGCATGGGAAACACGGTTTTCTGAAGATCACTGACTCCACAAATAAAATGCCTTCTGCAATGCTCTCAATACAGTGCTATTAAGAGAAATTTTACATGGTCAGGTGCAGATAGACTTGCACATATGGTTTTTTGTTCTTTCGGAATTCATGCACTGAAGGTACTGCTTGTGTTGAAAGGACTTGCTTTGTTTTGTTTTTTCTTTTTCTTTTTAATCTCAGGGTTATCGGACTGGTCTTTTCATCTGAGGCTTGCATCAATGGAAGTTTCTTGGATAAAAGGTAGTGTGTGCTGACTAAAATTAAGTTTTTACCCCCTAGTCTTACTAAAACTTGGTACAGAAGCTCTTACTCTAGTAGATTATCCCACAGTGACATTTGACAGATTGTGATAATGCTATTAGGCAATATTTCAGTTCCCAAAGGGTTCATAATAGCTCTTCCCAGCACTGAAGTGTGAGTCACTTGAGGGTGAAATGCAGGAAGTCTCTTATTAACTGAGCATCACTACACAACACAGGAAGGACAAAATATTAATCAGTGAAAATATCTTTGTAGAACAGATGAAGCTGTACTCACTGCAGTTGTGGGGTTAACTTTTCTAAACGTTTTCAAATGTTGGGATGTTTCACTATTCGCTCAGGTATTAAAACAGCTTGTTTGTTTGATTTAATTTTTAATTTATTTTTCCTTTTGCAACAGAGGCAAACATTTCAGAACTTCCAAAGAAATCTCAGGTGTAGACATGACTAAAGTGCTACAGTTTTATAAGAAAATCAGCAAGAATGCAGAAGTATACCAGGAGGTAAGGATTTGATACAAGAATTCTAACTGAGAAACTATGGGTCTGACTGTCCTTTCCCTCAGAAGTTCAGATTTTCCCAGTCTTTTACAAACAAAGCGAAACCAAACAAAACAAAGAAACTTTCAGGAAACTTCATGAAGAGAAGGCACAGTTTGTTTATTGTTCCCGATGAAGCTATATACCAAGGAGATGGGATTGTATGCAGGTCACAGTGCAGGGGACAAGCCCTTTCCCCAAAAAGCTGACAAGCTTCTCTACAAGGGGAATTTATGGGAGAATTATCACAGTCTTTCTTCTCATAGAGCAAATAAAGAATGAATGTGAGCCTCAGAATCAATCCGAAAACTCTGATTTTGAATTTGAATTGAATTTGAAGGTAGTATCCTAGACTTAGCGTGTGATGGAAGACAAGGGAACAAAATCTAGGAATTCCATACCAACCTAAATAATAGATTATTTTGGCATAACTCAACTGCATTTGTAATCTCTTTCTCTCTCTTTTCTTTTTCTTCTGAAGGTTCAAAAGGAGATTAATAATTTACTGCCATCATTGTCTTCTCCTGTTTCACCTGAAAATTTCAGAGTCTACTTGATCTTGCCTTTCCTTCTGCAGCAACAGAATTCCAGCTCTTACAGTACTCTCAAGCTGCTAGCAGAAGCTATCCTGAGGCTCCAGCAGAAGGACCTGCAAACTCTTGGTGGGGTTTGAAGTTGATGGAATTGAATGATTTACATGTTTGGCCACTTGGGGCTGCTGAGCAGGATATAATACTGCAGAAGCAATTTATTCCAGAGTTCAGCCTGGAAGACATGTTTTTGGTAGAAATATAAATATGGGGTCTACTACAGAAAAAGCAGGCACAAAAAACCCCTGTTTCTTGGCTTGAGGCTTACTAACTCTTAGTAGTAGTGTGAAATTAAGCATTTTATTAATTTGATAAGAAGGGAAAATGCAACTTCATCCAGAAATAGTAATTATTTGCATGTTACCTGTGGTGGATATCTTACTAGCTGTTGTTTTATTTACAGAATGCCTGTGGTCAAATCTAGAAATAGACCATTTCAAGAATCTGGTTGTTATATTTAGGAGGGTTTCCCTGAACTCTCTGACTCAACTTTTCTGCAATCATTCTGTGGAATACCCACAAAAAATAGAGACCCTACAAATACTGCAGATTCTTTACCAGGTGAGAAGGTGCTTGGATCCTGAGATATGATGTATCAGTATGATTGGGAATATTTTAATCCTTTTTATTTGTTAAATTTTCTGGGTTTCCTTCTTACAAGGAAACATGGTTCCTTGATATTGCTTCAGGATTCTTTTTAGCTCTGCATCGCATGGCTTTGAAATAACTGAGTTGTCATGCTACCTACATACCCCAAATTTTGCTCTTGAACTGTGCCTGGCTGATTGTCTACAGAAGAGAAGAACTGAAGCCCCAGATGGGGAGGGGACACTTGCAGGAAGGAGTGCATACCTTGATGTGTGCAGGGCTATGGTTGTGCTATTCATCACACAGCACGCCTACTCACTTGTGAGAATCCCTTGTCAGATCTCTCATCTTAGCAACTGCTCACAGCATCAAAATGACAGCCCAGCAGTTTTGCACAGCACCGCAATAGCGTATGATGCTTTTGGAGTCTGCTAGCTGAGAAATTATGTGAGCCAGTAGAATTTGAGCATGTTTAGCTTGTATGAAGAAAGGGAAGACAGAGGACAATAGATGTACTCTTCTCATAAAACATCCTTTTCCCTGCTGAGATTTTCAAAGTTTAGGAAGGAACTCGCAGATAGTAAGAGTTGCTAAATTTTGTTCACTATTCAACTCCCTTTTGGCTGAGAATGCAGATTTGGGCCTCAACGTTTAGACTCTTGCATGTATTTATCCACTGGATAAAATTCAAAAGTGCAGGAGAGTACTGCTTAGTAAGCAGCAACATCATTTACAACCTTTTATGGTCACTCATTTCCAAAATCAGATCTTTGCCAGGCAACAAATATGAAAGCAAATGAGAAATTTCAGACTCTTTTGCAACACGATGGACAAAAAATATCCTTCAGGATGGAGTTCTGTTAAGGGGCCTTTGTTGTAAATGAAAATTGCTTTCCTGTAAGTTTTTACTCTTTGTGTGTGTGACTTGTCATTGTTGAGTGCTGTGCTACTTGTAGTGTTTCTATGCTTCCATTTTTGTGCTGGGTCTCAGAGTTATTTCTGCTGAGATCCCTGTTACTCCTTAATCCTATTCTGGTGCACAGCTCACTAGCTCTGCTGCCAGTCCCATTCATACTGTATCTGTCAATACAGGTGAACTCCAGAGCTGGTTTCAAGCTACAAGACAACCTCTTCTATATACCTGAAATGAAAGAGATTATCCATGATTTTCATGTCATGGGCATATCAGTAAGTATAAAATCTTAGCCGCAGTACAAAATGCTTATTTCACTGTTTTGTTTAATAAATCAGTATAAGCAGAAAGACTCTAGACTTCACCCCAGTAACAGTGCATTTCCCCACTTCTCCAGCTGTTCTAAATAAATCAAGCCATTTATGATCTCAATATTTTAACAGCTACAATAGTGCTTTTCCATTGATGAACCCCTAGTTTTGCGTGCCAGAGTTGTTCCCAGCATGTTCCTGCCTATAGCAGGGGGTTGGAACTAGAAAATCGTAAAGATCCCTTCCAACCTAAACCATTCTATGATTTTATGATTTTATCATCTTAAGAAGATCTATTTGCTTCAAACTGGCAATGAGTACAAAATAGAACCACCAAGCATTATTACTATGCTTCTTGTATACGTCTACATGTTATGCCATTTATTTAACAGAATAATTGTGAGGGCTCTTTAAACTTTCATGGACAAACCCTATAGAACACTTCTATTTACTTGTATCTAAAACAAACCAGTGGTAATAATAAACAAAAAAATCTGTGAAATGGTTCACTTCTCGGTGACAGGAAGGCACGAAAATTAGCTACCAAATGCAACCAGTGTCACAGGAAATACTGTAAGTTAAATGGGACAGTAGAAGTGTTTACTAAAAGTAGACACTAGAAGTCTATCACCTTGCACTAGATTACTCTGTATGCTGATACCTTACTGATATTATTGTGAATAATAAAACCAACAGCTTTTAACAACAACATGTAACTTGAACATCCTGGACATTTTTTCTATGTGTTTCGATTTAACTCAAGTATGGAAGAGGCCATTAAAATAACTTTCTATTTTATTCCCGAGGTACTGTAACACAAATGTCTGCACAGACAGTTCTGCAAAATTTCAGATGTTTCTCTGACAGGGTTTCCCACGCATTGAAATGTTTAGAACCTGCTTTTATAAAGCGTGCCTCTATTGGTATAGCATACAAATACACATCAAAGGCATGTTTCAGAAATGCAGGATGGCAGTTCAGTCTCTCTACATACCCTTAAATCTGATTTTGCAAGAGAAAATCAACAGACCTTTTATTTTCATCTTTGTAATTTCAGCTGACGGTGCTGATTAAATATCCCTGCATTTTTAACATGAAGCACAAGCTGGCGATTCATCTTTTAGAATGCAACAGACTGTCTTCATATTTCAACATTGTAAGTATGGCCTTTTTCTCCTTCTCAATTTAGAACAGAGAAGCACACTTCTAACAAATAGTTATTTTATTCTTCAGCATCCAGTCTTAAACAGCGTATTTCACAAACAGTGGATTTTTCCTGTCAGAAGAGAATGCCTCCTGCATGACATCTGGAATCATTTAAGAAATGCGAACAACAGCCAATTCACACATCTCTTAAACGTAAGACATCAAACGATGTATTTTTTCTTCAGCTCTAAATCTATTACTGCAGCGTTCTGAAGTACTGTAAGAAAGTTCTGCTGGGGATGTAAGTAAATCAGGAGAGCAGTATCATACATTCATATTCCAGGTAGTTAATAAGTATTGTGGGTATAATTTAAATGCAATTGGCAGTTCTATTTACTGTGAAGTTGCTTTGGAATAATGTAATAGGATTGCTCAGGAAACCAGTCAATTGGCAAATTCCAGTACTGTTACTGCTAGATTCACTTTACTAGGCTAATTTGCTGTGCATGAAAAACCTGGTGGACAGATCTTTCTTGCCAGCACTAGAGGCCAGCAAGTGACATGGCCAAAAAAAGCTGGTTCTCTCATGGTGATGCTGCCTGGAGGAAAAGGAAGAATAATGCCCCCAGGAGGGAGGAAAAGCTGATTATAACGCTGCTGTTTCTCTGTGATTTTATTTGTGGTTTCCCCTGTGCAAAGGTTTTGGTAGCCAGCAGGTATTGCAGTGCCAGCCCTTTCCTGCAAAAGTAATTTGTTGGCTGACATGGAATCCGGTCACCTGGTTCCCTGCCCAGAGCTGAGCTGAGCTCAGCCCAGGGACCAGGTGCCTGTGTTCTCAGTCACTGACACGAGGGCTGTTTGGTATTGCGCCTGTGGAGCGAGACATTACCCAATTCTGGTTCTTCCCAAGTGAGCCTTCTTGCCAGCAAGTTGTCAGAGCTTTTCCTTCATATACATCTAGAAGAAGATTCACAAATGGCTTCTAGAGCTACCTTTGCTTTTTTCTTTCTCACTGTGTCAGCTGAAAAAGGTGTCGTTTTTTTTAAAACATAGGCAATAAGGTCTGTGCTCTGTACTATGCACTACATGAACCCCTCTCCATTGATAGCACAAAGAGCCCTGACAGATAACTGTGCTTACCTCGAGTAAGCCCTCCAGTATGTCTTTCATGAATCCCAGCATTATTTGTGCAGCAGCAGCCTGATCAGTGTAATTGCTTTGTTAATTTCTTGCCAGTAGACACTGGCTGAGACCTGCAACGTTTCCAACACAGTACTGCAGTTCTGATTCTTTTCAGCAGTTACAGGACACTGCGTCACTCCATTCTCTAGCGTTGCTGTAAACGGGAACAGGGAAAGCTGAAGTATTCAGCAGAACCTTCTGTTCCTTCTCTACTAAGAAGGAGATAATGTTAAGGAGAAAGATACTTGACACATATCTAGAGTATCCAAACAACATTCTTCCTTCAACTCAAGGCCTGTTATCAAAGATTAAGCTAATTTATTTTACATTCCTCTGACACTAAGACAAATGCATTTCAATACATCAGGCCAAGGCAAACAGTATCAAAGCTTATGAACCAAAGAGAGATTCGTATCACCCCATGTTGCCACTGCTTATTATTTGATGTTATTTCAGTCAGGGTGCAGTTGTCTAGCACAGATGGTTACCCCCTAGTACATTTTCAGTAGCCACTAGAGACGCAGAACTTGAAGAGATACACTAGAAAGAAATAATGTTTGTTATTCCTCCTCCTTCTCTTCCTTTGCATTAATTAAGTAACAGGTTTATTGCAGAGGACTGCATAGAGTTCAGACACCACCAGGCAAATGCTGACAGTCACCAGTGCCACAACAGACGTTTCAGATCAATTGTGAGACCTGGCTAAATTAAACAAACTGCGTTGCTCTAGAGAAGGGGGTTAGCAGAGGCACTGTGCTAATTGTGCCTAAAAAGCTTAATTCCCATCCAAGTCCACAAGTGGAAGAACACATAAACCGGTATCGTGACAGGAAGCAGGAGGCTGTAGAAACACAAGCTGTTGGTGCTGGTGCAGCCCTGAGGGAAGGTTTCATCCACGCTGGCCGAGTAGAACAAGCCCGCTAGGGACAGGAGAGGAACGAGCACGGTCAGCGTGGGCAGGGAGGGGAGCAGGCCGCCTCCTGCCATCGGCGTGTCGCCTCACGGCTGCTCCGAGCCCTCTGCCGGGGGCCGCTTCCGCGTCGTCCGGGCGGCCTCCGGGATCATGTTCGGGATGCCATCGATGACGGGGTACGCGATGCCCAGCTCCTCGTTAATGAGCTCGTTAGTCGATTCTTCGTACCTGGGCAGCCGAGCAAAAAAAAGAAAAACGGAAAAAAAAAAAAAAAAAAAAAAAAAAGACAAGGGAGGCGTCAGTGAGCTGGCTTTACCTTCAGGCCCACCGCTCGCTCGCAGGCCCCGGGCCCTCACCTCAGCGGCCGCTTGGAGAGCGGGCACACCAAGAAGCGCAGCAGCGACGGCTCCAGCGGCTGCCCCGGCCCGGGGCCCTGTTCCTGCTCCTGCCCGCTCGCCCGGCGGCTCCCCGCCGCGCCCCGCAGCGCGGCCACTACGCCGCGCGCGCAGCCGCGTAACATGGCGCCCCCCCGAGCCACCGCTCCGCCTCCGGTGCACGGCGGAGCCGTGCCGGGCTGCGCGCCGCCGCCGCCGCGCTGTGGTTCCGGGGCGGATCGCTACTCGGCCGCTCTCACCATGGCTGTCGCCGTGCTCGCAGGTGCGCTTCAACGGCGAGGAAGGACAAGGAGAAGGGCTGCGCCTGGAGCTCTTCACAGTCGCCGCCAAGGCCCTCTGCGATCCCCAGAGCGGTATCTTCCGCCACTTCCCCTCCAGGCTGGTCTGGTTCCCCAGGCAGGTAAGCTTGCTCGCCTGCGCCTGAGCCGACGTGCTCGAAGAGAGAGAGAGGCGTAACTTCATCTGTTTTTTTTACGTTCCTCTTTTGACAAGGCGTCAAGCCACGATGACACCTTTCTGCTGGCGGGCACTCTGTTGGGAATGGCCATGTATAACCATTGCCAGACTCCCTTACCATTCCCCAGGGTTCTCTTCAAGAAGATGCGCGATGTCGAGCCGACCCTGGAGGACCTGGAGGAGCTGATACCAGCAGTTGGCAGGTATGGAATGTCAGTGTCCTAAGGTGTGAGATTCCTAAGGCAGTTGTTAATTTTATGTGAAGCGGGTCTTCTAGCTAGGTGATTCACACAGCAATCTTGGAAGCAGTACTTTAATATATTAACTAACAGTTTTCACTATGTTGTCAAGGTAGACCTTATGCATAAGCACAGTTTTAACCCATACTGCAGGCATATCAAATCTGCAGGCATGTGCCCACATGCTGGGTTTCCACTGCTGAGAAGTATTTCGGGCAGATATTGCAGAACAAGTTGCTGCTGCTACAACACTGAACTTGTAAGCCCCTGAAGCACAACATTCCACACTAGTGCTATAAACAGCCTGTCACAACCTCTTCCCTGGAGCCCATGACTGTGTCAAAGGGCAAGAGCCCTCAGTAGACTAAAATGTCAGGTTTCCTGCAATGCTTTGAGAGACACTGCACTACAAAACAATTATTCTAGATCATCCCACTGATGGACAATGCAATTCCTTATTAAATGATCTTTGAAAAGAAAAAGCTGTGGTCTCAGCCCATTTGCCACTGGAATTGATCTCTGCATGAAATTCCTGAAGGGCATGGGGATAGTCTTGTTTTGCATCCTTCACTGTCAAGGCATTTCCCTCAGCATAAGAATACAAGTTCAGTTTAGAGCTCTTTATGAAGGCTTGGTGTGAGTACAGATATTCTATCCGCATGTGCATTTAAATACTGCTTGCCAAAGAATGCTTTCCAGCCAGTTTGACTGTAATAAATTATCTTTATGTCCCTTCTCTATTCCCCCCCCCACCACCTTTTTTTTTTTTTTTTTTTCTTGAAAGGAATCTTAAGAATATTTTGAAGGAAGAATCTGAGCATAAGCTTGAAAGCCTACAGATGACCTTCGTGGTAAGACTCCATTGTGTCATTCAGATGCGCCATGCATGTAAAACAGGCAAAAAAGTATCCCATCACAAGTGATATAAAAACTTACCTATAAACTCCAACTAGCAAGGGTATAGAAAGAAAAAGTGCTAGATATAGCTCATATATGCTATCACATACACAGATATATAAATATTTAAATACAGATTTAGTGTCTGATGTTTTTCTTTATTTGTATAGCAAATGGAAGAAGGAGGTTCTGTGGTTGAGCTTAAAAAAAATGGTGCCAACATTCTTGTCACTAAGCATAACAGGTCAGTTTTATTTTTCTCATCCTGTGTCTGTTATGTGTTTATGAAATACCATTTATAGAAAATAGCTATTAGAAAACACTGAGCTTGAACAGTGTTGTTGGTCTCAGTGCAGCAGCAAAAGCCGTGTGCTTTCAGATTGTGCTGTATGTATGCCAGACATTAGCAGTTTGTGCAAGCAGTGGATAAGACAGGGACATCTAGCAATGACTAAGTCATACCAGGCCTAGTAGGGAAATTCATAAACATATAAAGTATCAGTGAACAACATATTCAGGGATATTATAAACAACTTGATGTATCTTTTTAAAGTTCTTTTAACAGCAAAATATTTCTTCTTTAGTTACATATATGAAACATACCTTGTACATAACAGAAGAGGAATTTATCAATGAGGTGTTGCATCACCATTAACCTCAGCACAGAGTACAAAGAACAAGGCTATGGCTTAAGTTCATGTGACTGTTCTCCGTAAAGATTTTGTATTAGCAGTTGTATAATCAATGAATATACAGATATTATAATTAAGAAATATCCAGGAAATACTAGGCTAAGTAAGATTATTGTAACAGGAAGATAATAAATGGAAAATGCTTACTGATGTTGTAGGCTCACAATATTCTCCACAAAGAGTGATCTCCTGGAAAAGATCCTTCCTGGATCTCTTTAAGTGTAGAAAGTCTGCACTTAAATGGGTCTAGGAGAGGTGTAGCCAGGCTCCACCCCTTCTGGTAGCACAGGTGAATTACCTTCACCTGTGTTCCCATGGCTGACTCATTGCTTGCCTCAGGTGGTCAATCAAAGGTTCAGGCCGTGATTCAGCAGTTCCCATACAGCAGTAGAGCAGGTGGTATGGAATAAAGAATAAGAAAGTTCTTTATATTTCTCTTTTTCAAAAATCACCTCTTGTGTTGCTTGTTTGAATCAAAATATCTTTGCAGGAAGGAATTTGTTGACTTGTATGTGAATTACATGTTGAATGAATCAGTACGGAAGCCATTTGAAGACTTTATGCGAGGTTTTTCAAGAGGCTGCCCAGCTGAAAGCTGGAAGATGTTTCTCCCTGATGAGCTCATGATTTTTCTCCTGGGACACACAAATTATGACTGGCATCTGCTAAAGAAGGTATTAGTTACAAGCAGAGTGGCCTTTTGCTGTTATGCACAAGCTGTTTGCTAAGCATAAACTCTTTCTGTCCTGTACTATTATTGGATGCATAAGTCCCAAATACAAAAATAGTAGCTTAGGGGAGTGTTTTTATCATTTGTATCATTGTTCTGATCAACTTCTAAACTACACTAGGTACAAGAGTATAGGGTAATAAAGATCAGTCTTAAAAAAAAGAATGAACGGGCAGATTCCAGGCATGAGGAGGATCTGAACACCTGTGAAGGGATTATGAAATGTATCAGCAACACTGTTGCTGCTTTCAATAAAAACAGAAATAGCAAGGCCAATTTTAATTTTTTGTTTTCAACAGAATGTGAAATACGTGCACTACAAAGAGTCACATCAAACCATCAAGAATTTTTGGTCTGTGTTTCACAAGCTCCCAGAAGAAAAAAAGAAAAAATTTCTTGGTAATATTTTGACATTCTGAACTTTCTTATAGCTCTCCCTCACAAGACAGATTGAGATGCTTGTGTATGAAAATACTGTACTTCCAAACCTCTTTTCAGTGTGCTTCCAGCCCCCTTCCCACATTTTCTAGTGTAAGCCACAGTGAATTGGCACAAAGAATAGCACAGTCACAGTTCTGACCTTTCTCACAGAATCACAGAATCACAAGGTTGCAAATGACCTGCAAGATCATTTAGTCCAACCACCCTCCCATTCCTATTCATTCTCGTCTCCCTTGAGGCTTGCTTAAACACGTCCCACGCTCCTGGACCTTGCAATTAGTTTATTCCTTGCTTTTGTAGAGATCAGTTGTTGGTCAGAGGACTCAACTTTAATGCTGACATGAGCCGTTGAGCTTTCTCAGAGGATCACAGAAGCTAATTCATCCTTTTTAATTGGGGAAGGTCAAACCTTGCTTGGCTTTTCTCATTCACAAAGTCTGTATAAGTAAAAGTAAAAGGTTTATACTTAATATAAATCAGCGAAAGACTATTATATTCAGGTACAAATTCAGTAGTGCCAAATAATTAGCTAATGTAAATAGCTGTATGTTTATACTGACTTTCCTTCATGTTTTTCATCTTTCAATAGCATTTTCATTCTTTCTTTCTTCCTTTTTTGTTTGCTTTAAATTTACTAATTTGCTTCCCTTTCCTCCTCTTTTGTTTAGCTTTTATAACAGGATCTGATCGAATCGTTCCTTTTGGACTAGAGTATTTTGTATTTTCTATTGAAGACCCTCTGTTTGAAGATCCAGATAATTTATATCCTTCTGCCCAGACCTGCAACTGCACTCTCTTTCTCCCCAAGTACAGCAGTAAAGAAATACTTGAGGAAAAATTACTCTCTGCCATAGAGTATAATGAAGGTTTTGGCTTGAGGTAGCTCTTGGTCAGAAGCATGTTAAAGCACAAACAAGAAAAGAAGTGGTTGTCTCACTTGTAGCATTTTTCCTGATTTATTCTGGTGTAGTGATTTCTATTCTGCCTTATTTTTACTGCACTTTATAAAAACAATTGAGTGTGTGTATTCAACTGAGAATGTTTATTGATTATTAAATCCTTGCAAGAAGCAACTTGGTAACCAATTGTATTTACATAGGTGCTTATCCTGCACTTTAGTGGTCTTAGTTGATGAGCTTTCAACAGTAAGGTTTCTGTTATTTGTACATTATCAAACACACAATTAGCATATGCTAAGCAGTAATCAGAGTAACATTTTCATCTGTATTAGTTAAGGATTCTTTTGGAAAACAATCCAACTGTAAGGAACCATATTCCTTCAAACTTTAAATTGAGGAGCAGCCTGTACTTGCCTGAATATGGCCTTTGAGTTATCTGAGAGAAGTTCTAAGATGAGGACTTGATCATTCCTAGAGTTTGCCAGGACAAATCTGTATTTGTAATGGATGTTTTATTAGTCAGTGTGATAATATTTGTTGTGTTGATTTGCATCTTCTAGGGAGTTGGCTGGTAATTAATAAACCAGAATTTTAGCCTGCAGAACGTTCTGACTACAGAATCTTGTGAACATGAGGCTTGTGAGGCTGCTGGAAGCTCACTGCCAAAACTGACACTTAGCAACAGCAGGCAGGATGTAAAGGCGGGAGGTTTATTTTTTTCTGTATGTTTTACTTTATGTAAAATATATGTTGTGATTTTTCAGCAGTCCTCTTGCATTTCTTATAGTCAGTGGACATACATGTGTAACAAAGGCTTTTACTGTGCTAAATTGATTGATTAAATTTCTACACTCGTGGCTGTGTGTTCCTCCATTATGTGACTGCCTATGTGTGACAGCATATCCATTTTCTATCCTTTATATGGGTGAGTCCCTCACAAGGGGAACCAAAGGTTGGTGTAAAAGTGTTTCAGACAGGTGCACTGTATACACTGAACAAGTCAAGGTCTTTTACATTTCTTACGGAAGGATCTTTATATGAATGTAGAAATGTGGAGCGAGAAGATGACAGTTTTCACATCCTCCTCTGCCTAGACTTTGTGTTGTACGTTACACACAATGCCCTGCTCCAGAGCCACTGCACCTTAGTGATGAATAAAGTGTTCTACTCCCATGCTGCAAAAGGTTAGGGTCTGTCACTGTAAGCTTCTCCAGGAACACTCAGGGAACTAGCCTGTTGCCATCTGCCAGACACACTGGTGTGTTTGTAGGTATGGGTATCACAGCAGTGCCCCTAGTTGAAGCTAAGGTTGATAAAACTCACAGTACAAGATCAGGTTGCACCCGAAAATATGTCATTTGAAGACAGGTGAGAAATGTACAGGGAATGCAGAGAAAATAACTTTTTTTTTTTTTTTTAATACTACTTCTCAGGGGACAGTTCAAGGACACTGCTCAGAGCTTTCATGTGACAGCCCCAGCAGCCTTTCCCTCCATACTGTCACAGTCTGTCTCAGAGAAAAACGTGCCTCCAGGCCTCTTTCTGCTTCTCTCAAAGGCCCAGAGGATTGAGCCTAGGTTCAGAAAAAGAAACCAGGAGCTAGGCTTTCTAAAGGGCTTGGCAGCCTCAATCACTTGTCTCACCTCTGTAGCAGAGCTTTTAAAAACGTGAGTGCTGATAGACTGAAAGCCGTGTTTCAAGTGCATCCACAGGGGAGCCTTTGCAGTGAAACAAAGTACAAAGCCTGCTTAATGAAAATAGACTAAACAGCATAGCAGTGATACCCTTTGTCACATATAAGGATATTTGAATTACAGGGATTCCTCCAGGAATATTTTCCCAAGCGTACATGTAAGTAAGGCAAAATACTCTATACCTCAGCAGGCAAAAAATACTACTGCGACATAGTGTGCATCAGTGAGACCAGTAAGGAAGATAAAGGGAGGCTACTTCTTCAAAATGCCTATTGTATATAAAAACAGTAAACCCTTTTTGGCAGCGATTGTTGGGCTCAGTGCTTTATTTCTTTAGGAAAGGAACAGTTTCCTAGGAAAGACTTAGGTGTTTTTCATGAAATTCCAGCTCAGTATAAAGGACTTTGTTGCATATTAAGAAAGTTGCCATATAGCAAGCAGTGTAGAAAAACTGCAGGCTCTCACCTCAGGTGCTAGAGTGCATAGCTGAGTGGGGAAACCGGGTACACAGCAGTGGTGAGAGGAAGAGGGGCACAAGTGGCTCAGAGGATGCCAGCTGTCATCCCAGTGGCACAGAAGGGACGTGTGCTCGTGCCCTGGGCAGCCTCTTCAAAAAGAAGTTTGTGTGGTCTGCTCAAGGTGTCCTTCTTTCCATATTATGTGAAAAGAGTCACCATTCCACCCTAGCTGATGCTACCACACCATGACAGCTGACAGTTGTCACAGCTTAGCCTGCTGCTGCTCTTTAGCAGCCTGCTTCTGCCTGCTTCATTCTGTCTTTCATTTATTCAATTATTTTTAATGCTTTTCTAAGCCTCTGTTATGGCGTGGAAATCCAGAGTGATCTTCTGTCCTCTGCAAGTCCGTAAATGATGTATCCTGTTCAGATTTCGAAACAACCCATCAGAGATTAAATGATAATAGGTTTATTTAGAGCCTGAAGGAATTTCCTTATGATGCAACAGCACATGGGAGATTAAATCCCAGAGTACTTTTCAAGGCTATTTTTAATTTGTCCTCAAATAAGCCCTGCTTTTATTAAAGACTTTCCAAAGGAGTAGAATAGAGCACTCTGTCGTTTTCTGAAATGACTTTGAGCACTGAGCTGCATCTACATTTTCTCAAGCAGTGCTTATTATAAAATATGTGAAGAAATACAAGAAATACAAAGAAATACAGTGGGACTTTTTTAGACTGCTCTTCTGATCCAAACGTCACCTGTAGAGATGTGCAGGAACTCTGCAAAGCAGCAGATGCAGAGCGGATGTGGGGCGACCAGGCTGCACCACACAGAAAAGCCACTTCCATGGCTGGCAGCCAGACCCCACCTTGACTGCTGGCACCGGCATAGGCAGCTATCCCTGGCTGATCCCTTTCAGCAGAAGGCTGCCAGTGACACCTAAAAAAGGGCTCTGGTGGAAAATACCTACCAGAAGAGGGTTGACAGGGCAGCTGAAAGCTGCCAAGTCGTATGCCACCACTGACACCCATGCAGCTCTTGACACTGGGCAGCCGCTTACTTGCTTGGGACAGGAGATAGACAATTGATAAATTAACATGAGGTGTAGATCTGGGCATCTCTGGATATTTTCTGACCTGCTGTCCGGATAAATTCAGCTTCACGTTGAAGGAGCTTCTTTTTCTCAGCAGGATGATCTCAGCCGTTAAGGAAAGGGCGAGCTTCCTTTGACCTCTTGGGGCAGCCATTACCAGCAGTGGAGCATAGGCCTGAGCGCTAGCTGCCCGATTCTGCCTGGAAAACCAGGGACGGTGAAGTCCGTGGCGCTGCCAAACGGAGCCGTCACGAAGGGGCTGCCCGCGGGAGCAGAGGAGCCTCCAGAGGGAGCCGCGCGCAACGAGGCGCGCGGAAGCCCCCAGTTCACTTGGGCGGGTCTGCCGTTTTACACCGTTACCGAGGACGGGCCTTGAGAGCTCTGCACGGACTCCAAACGTGCGCAGTTAGCGGTGGGTTTCAGCAACAGATTCCTCAGCCGACGCGTCCGCACGGCCCGCTCACCAGCCTGCCGTCACGTCGGCACACCGCGCCGCTGCGGCCCTCGCGGTGAGGGAAGGGCCCGGCAACCGCAGGGAGCCGCCCGCCGCCCCGCCCGGCGCCGGCCATTGGCCGCGAGCAGCCATTACTCCCGCGGGCGGCGGTGGGGGGCCGGACTTGATCGTCGCCGCGGCGGCAGCGGCAGGTGAATTGGGGGGCCGGGGGTGATCGGGTGGTATGGATGTTGCGGAGGAGCTCCTTGCGGAGGGCGCGAGCGCGGACTGCCCCAGCGGGCGCCCTGCGTCCCCGCGGGCGCGCCGCGAGGGCTGGGAGGCGGGCGGAGGGGCTGACGGCTGGGGCCGGCTTCCTGCGTGGGGCAGCGAGAAGTGCGCAGCTCCCGGGTGCGATCGTTCCCCGTCGCTCCTCGCGTTCCTCTGCGCTGCTGCGGGCGGCGGGCCGGCCGAAGCAGGAAGGGAAAGGGGCTCGATGGCAGCGAGCGGCGATAAATCCCGGCGCTGTGCGGCCGCGATGGTACAGGAGCGCTGCCGGCTGAGTTGTCTGCCTTGGCCAGAATGGGAAACGTAGCGTGAAGCTTCATTTGAAGCTTTGTGTTCCAGGACGCTGCCCTTCCGCGAGCGTATGGTTTATTGACTTGTGTTTGCGTTTGGAAGGGGAAAAACATCCACACAAGCGTTAAAGCAGTCGTGGTTTTAGAAATGTGCTGTGTCTTTGGAATAACTAAATTAAATACATGGCACATCAGGCCTTTGGAAAACATCTGGGTGTGCCGGTGCGCTCAGATGGAAAGTGGCTGTGTTGGCTTCTGCTCCAGAGTGAAGAGGTGCTCCTTCAAGCCGTGTCTTAGCACGAGGAAAGACCTGCCCCTGGCTCCCCCTGCTCAGTGCAGCAGCTTCTCATGTGGAAAATGAACACAAGCAATTAATTTAATTAAGGTATTTTTAGCATTTTAAATGAAATTAGCAGCTGGAAAGACGACTGGGACCTGTGGGGAGCAGACTGTTCAGAAACTCTTCTAGCGAGGTATCCTAAATTACAATTTAGCCCGTGATGTACGGAGTCACTGTAGTGGTAGAGTGGTACAATCAGCAGCATCCCCTTACAGGGAGTGTGAGCTTCAGGGTGGCTGCTCTTAATTGTGAAGCTGCTTTTATCTTTTGTAAGGTGATAACTCCTCAGGCTCAGAGAGGTGGCAACCTTTTTTGAGGCAGGTTATGAAGTTCTCTATAAATATAGCTATTGTGTCATTTAAAACACAAGCATGTGCATGACTTCAGTGTTACTGCGTCCCTATTCTTGGTGTCAGGAGTAGCCAGTGGTGACTTCCGTTGGGCTGATGTGCCGAGGGCATGTGAGCCCAGCCATTGGCTTACGTTGAGCCCTGCAACCTCCTGCTTTATAAACTGGGGGTGCTTTAGAGCTGCTCAGTGACCGTCCCGAAATGTGGATGACTTGAGGTGTACTTGAAAGGAACAGAGGCTGTTAGAAGTAAATAGGTTACAATGCATGCTTTGGAGCACCTAGTAAGAGACCTTAGCAAGCAGTTTGTGAGAGAAGATGGCATTTTCCAGCTGTAGAGGTTCCATCTTCTGTCTCTCTTGGCTCGGCCCTGCCTTGGTGGAGGTGAGTGCACCTGATGACAGGACGCAGCCACGGGTGAGGGCAGCTGGTAGGAGACGAGCACCCCTTGCTTAGGGCTCAGATTATGGAAGGCTTTATGGCTAATGCAGCTTGAATTAGCACCAGGCTTTGGGAGCTGCATGCGTGTGTTTCCTGTCTGAGTGGGGAAATCTCCTTTTGCTGTGGAATCTGTGGTGATGCCTCAGAGGTTACCTGTGGTGTTAGATCCTGTGCTGACGTAGTGAGTGCTGCAGCAGTAAATTGCCTTAGTTTAAAACTTGCCATGGTGAGTCATGAGGCTTGATGTCTAGGATATTTCTTTTTCTCTGCTCTTTTTTCTTTCTGCTTACAAAATAGGGAAGGGTTATAATCAGTTCCTATTTCAAGCAGAGGAATTCTCCATGTCTTCTTAATGCAACGTGTTTAAAAATGGCCCAAGCATAATGAGGATGGGAGTACAAGGAAGTGTCAATAAACTCTTTCAGATGCTCATTCTGGAATGAGGAAACGAGGGCTGATTGCCTAGCTCTTA